TCCTTTCTCTCCATTCTTCTCTGTTCCTACATATATATTCCCTTTGCTGAGTGGAGAACTCTGAGGAACATAATAAAAAAAAAAAAGCAATCTCTTGGGTTGTTTTTTTTTTTGGTTCATATAAGGTATATAAGATTTGAGTTCTTTTTTTGGGGGCTCTCTGAAATCAATCAAGAAAAGGGTTTTCTGGGTTTTATTTTGTTTCTTGTGTAAGGTATTCAGAGAAATATGGTTTTCATGTGTGAGATTTTCTTTGCTGAAGAAAAGCTTGAAGAAGGAGAGTGGGAGAAGGAGAGATAAGATTAGGAAGGTTTGATCGCAAAAGCCAAAGGATAGCAGAAGTAGAGGAGGAGAAAAAAAAAAAAAATCGTTTCCTTTGCAATCTGCTTCTGCTTCTGCTGGTAATCTTCTTCACCATCCCCTTCTGTTCAGGGATTTTTTTTTTTTCTGTTTATTTTTCGTTTTGATGATTAAAGATAACAACTTTTCTGCTATGGTTTCTGATATCTTTGATGGGTTATGTTCTGTTTTGTTCTGTTTTTTCCCCTATGATCATATATATTCCCAATAGAAGTAGATCAAGTTTTGTGATTGTATTCATTTGTGTTGTGTTGTTTTCTTTGCAGGGCTATTGGCAATGTCTGCTACCATAATCAGTGATCCAATGATGATACCGGTGCCTGCTTCAGCACCGGAGACTCAGCTTGTGGCACAAATTGAAGTTGAGTTTGCAGAATGTGACTGTTGTGGGCTGACTGAGGAGTGCACCCCAGCCTACATAGAAAGGGTACGCCAGATATACCTTGGAAAATGGATTTGTGGGCTCTGTGCTGAGGCTGTGAAAGATGAGACCATAAGGACTCATGAGAGCCTCATCACCACCGAGGAAGCCTTGACTAGACACATGAATTTCTGCAAGAAATCCCACTCCTCTGGACCTCCTCCTGATCCTACAGTTCACTTGATATCTGCAATGAGACAGATTCTCAGAAGAAGTTTGGATTCTCCAAGAGCTGTGAGATCTACCCCAAGCAGTCCAACAAGAAAGGTTGAGGAAATCCGGCCACCAGGGCTCAGTAGGACAGGGAGCTGTTTCTCTAGCTTGGCTGGTTGACGGAGGTATATAAAGATGGAAAATTGGAATAAAAACTTTGGGTGGGGGAGTTGCATTTGATATGCTGCAAATAAAGAGAGAAGAAAGGGAGGAGAAAAAGGACTCTTGTTTTAAGATTAGATGCTTATGTAGTTTTCAATGTCAAATACAGAACTTCCTTTTTGTTAAGAATTTCTTTTTCCCCATATACATAGCTCCTCTTTCACCCTATGGCCTGTCTACTTGAGACAAAATTTGGATTTGGGATTATGATATCCTTGTACTATTTACAAGCCTTGCTACTTCCTTGTACCAAAGGTTTTAAAATTCAACAACCAATTAAAATTGTGTTGAATTTCGATTTGGAAGACAACAGAAGTGCATTTGGACCTAGTCTCTGGCACGAGTTTCTCTATTGCAGAAACTGGAGTGGTTGGAAAGACGTTTTAAAAGCATTTTTGTTTTTTTCTAGAAGTTCGTTTCAGCCTTTTTTTGATTCTCTGCTCTCTGAGTGCTTCTTTTGCACAGAATCATTCCATTGCCAGAAATGAGAAATCAACTATCTTTGGTGTCTAAATCAGTGAATCCTGATGGTTCCATTTCTAGATCTTTCACATTATATGAAGTTGAGAATGCGAAAGCAGAAGGTTATGTAATGTGAATAGGTAAAGTATTCTGTTCATGTCCATTAATGAATTGCCTTTAGGTGAAGCAATGACTATGACCTAACATGTACTTGGATCACCAAAAATGGTTAAACAAAAGATGGGTGGTGGAAAGATTTTCAGACAAACTTCTTTGTTTTCTTTTCTTGTAATGGCATGTATTGTAGTACCTGAAAATGGTCAAATATAGATGTAAGAAAAAGTGCTGTGCCACGAGTGCAAGACTTCGAATTTATAGAAGAACAAGTTTTCCCAAAGGATCTGTACCTGAGCACTATATTCATTAAGATAAAAAATTGAAGAGCCATCAAAATCAAA